ATACATACATACATACATACACACGAACATCGCTGGCTCAGCTCTGCGTTTCACGTCAGTTGAACAAGCTTCAGTTGCTAGGACGTCTGCAGGGTTCTTACACTTGTTAACTCAAAGCCTTATGACGACACAACCTTTGCTGAGAAGAGAAGCCCGGTTCGACTTCCCAAGTCTGTGGGGTTTAGGGTTTTTGGCTCTCACAACTTGGACATGCCGCGTGACGGGTCTGGGCAGCAAGGTTGAAGCAAGATGCCACACGGGTTTAAGGGCTTGGTCCACAGCCAGGCATGGTGCTGGCCTCTGCGTCTGTGATGGACCAATCCTAGCAGCTCCTTCAGCGATATGCGTCACCCAAGCCGACACTAACGGCTCCGCCGTCCGAAGGGGGTATCGGGAGGAAGGCAGGCAGGCTTTCGGATTCTCTTGGGGTTCATGTGAAACCAGTGGGAGGAGCTGGCCGTCTGCCTTTGCAAGCATCCTCCTCGTGATATGACTTCCCCAGGTGAAACTACACAGCCGCAAAGAAGCCCAGTCTCAAACTGGAGGTGCAGATATCAACAACCAAGCATCACAGCCACGAAGGGCTTCAGAGATCTAGCCTACAAGTATCAGCCCAGTCGCCGAAAACCGGTACTAGACTAGAGATACCTAACTCTTTGCGAGGCACGGTCCCCCACCAGTATGCGAGATGATGTGTTTCTACTCATGCATGCATCTCACGCATATCATCATACCATATATATATATGTATGTATGTACGTACGTACGTACGTACGTACGTACGTAGGTATGTATGTAAGAAGGTATTTGCATATATATATATATGCATATGTATATATATATATATGCATATGTATATATGTATATATGTATCTATGTATCTATTTATTCATTCATGTATTTATTTATTCTGTCTCTATGTACTTATGTAGTTATCTATTTATGTATTTATATACTTATTTATTCATTTATGGATGCTTTCTGTGTGCATATAAATATATAAATATAAATATAAATATAAATATAAATATGAATATATACATATACACACACACTGTATGTTTACATACATGTATATTTCCGTATACATATAAGTAGAAAGGTCTGTATGTTGGGATTGCACTCCAAAGCTCCGACTGTGCTTGACGGCCCCCACATGCATCCGGCCATTGCGCGGATGGTAGCAGAAATGCACTCCTGACAGTCAGACCTGCGTTTTGAAGTCTGCGCATGTTTACTATCGTACCTGTGAGGCCTACATGGCCCTTGCCCGTCGAACAGTTCATTGCCAGTGCAATCGCAAAATGTCGCAGACTTCGCGAACCTAGTGTGCCAGGTCCAGGGTTCGAAGGTCTGCACATGAAGCTGAATTGGAATCAATGAGGGCACTTGGTCTAAAGTGCACGCGGGCGGGCCCGTGGGTAAACCCAGAACCCCCGGTTTCGCAGGGCTTCGCGAGGGATACCTCAGCGGAGCCGCCCGGTACACGTTCACCGCTGTGTCTTGCCGGCTGCAGCGCCAAACCCCGAGAACTCCACAGGACTCAACACCTGCCCAAACCTGTCACCTTGCATCCCTATGGGCAAGGCGAGGCCGTGGCAAGAAGCTCAAGTTCACCATTCCCTAACCGCTGCCGTGAGGTCAGTGCACTTGTGCGCACGCCGCGTAAGCTGATGCTGGGCTGGGCTTACTACATCCCAAGTCAGTAGCAGGAAACGTGGTTGTGTTCCAGCGATGTTTTAGAATGTAGGAATTTGGTCTTTGATCCAGGCTCCACAGCTTCACACGGCGCAGTTCATCGGCTTCTCTCCGCGAGGAAGGGCCAGCTGCCAGTTTGCAGTCAAAGCCTCGCCCCCAAAAGGACACGAAGCCCTGAACGCTGGAGTTCTTAGGAAGCCCCACAACGGCGGGCTGAAAGATCTCCTGCCGTTTTAATCATGAAATGGGAGTCTTGCAGGCCCGCCGCCGTGGGAACTCCACAGGATCTTGATAGATCTCCATCAAGGAGAAAGAATCAAACATTCGCTGGGGTCCGTATCTGTTCACCTCCTCAGTGTGATTCCCCCTCCTAGCAAAGTAGGCGAATGTAAGGTGACACGCCGAACCAACAAGGTTTGGGCGGTATGACTTCTAGGGATACAACCGAGCTGGAACATCCAGCGAGCTGTAGGCCGAATGTGAGACAAAGCTAGGCCTGAGTCCCACAATGATTCAGTGACCTGTTGGCCCTGAACTTCAGGATGACTTCACCTGAGGGAGGTGCAGGATGACTCACCAGCAGTGAGACGTACCGGTATTCCTTGCCCAGTCTACGATCGGGCCGATGCGCGAACTGTCACAGAGGAGTATCCTTTTAGGGCCCACCAAAGACTTCGCAGAACATCGGGACCTTCGCTCCTTGTGCGAGCCACAATAAATATGATCCACACGAATCACAACTACTCCGCCAACCCACGCCCTCGATTCGGTAGGCATGCATCCAAGAGGTGCGCGACTTGGTTACAATACCAAGGGCGCGAAGAATCATCAAATTCATCCCCCCGTAGTCATTACAGCCCCTACTATAGCCCTATCTATGCATACCATAATATACCCCAAAAGCCTATAGAGGCGACCCTGATCTGGTTGCTTTAACCTGTGCGCATCGTCCGCCGAGCTCCAACCGCCGTCCCCGGGGGTTTGCGTCAGAGACTGAATCTGGGGGGCTACTTGTGGCTAGGGTCCTACTACATACATAAGCTTGATATTTTTTGAAAAGCCAATTGTATGTAGCTAGGCAGGACTGGGTAGTGTCGCAGCTCAGAAATGAATATCAGAAGCTATCTGTTTCCAAGACATCTCTGACCCCCAGGGATGCTTCAAGGCTTGATCTACAATGACCGCAAGGAATGTAATCATGCATTACCTTCCATTTGCGTCATTATAAGGGTCGTTGTGGGTCGTAGCCGTGTTCATGGCCGCATGGCAGTATGAAGCCGAAATAACATCTAGCAAATCACGGTAGCAACCATCTGCGGCACACAAAACTCTCACTACGATGCAACACATCTAGAAGTTGTTGTTACTAAGAGTCGTGAGCACGAGAAGAGCTTACGATATACATGTACATGTGCATGTGTATATGTATGTGTATACATGTGGCTGTCTGAACGTGCTTCGGTGTGCCAAGCTGCTATCCCATACGATGCAATACAATTCAAGATGCTGTAGTACTGGAATCAATACAATCATGGTTCTCTAAGAGATCTAAGTTAAGAAACTATGCGTTCAAACCCCTTTCGGACAGTCTGCGCCGAAACCAGGCTTAGCCAAGCTCATTGTCATCACTGAGGGCGACGTCGAGCTCCGACGGCTCACAATACGTCTCACCCTGGCAAGAACCAACTTGCAGCGACTACTTCGGGTGCGAAGTCAGTCTCGGCTACTTGGCACTTGGTGCAAAGTCATGTGCACGCGTGCTCTGTGTGCACGTGTGAGCATATGTTTGCACGTATGCACGTGCGTACATATGTGTATGTATGTGTGTATATATATATATATGTAACATTATATGTAGATATGCATGAAAGTATGTCGGTATGTATGTGATGTATGTAAGCTTGCCAGCTAGACGAGCCGTGACGCTCATGAACAAGAACTACCAACATCATGAGTCGTCAGCCAACTGTTCCCAACTAGTCTCCAGGGCACCAGCGGCGTCGTACACAGAGCCGACATAAAATCTCCGTGGCATAAAGACTTTCAAGTGGTCCCTCCTTTGCAGCACATTTCCGGCTGTTGAACCGCATCTGGAACTAAACCCAAACTTACGATGAAAATCCAGGGCGCCAGTTTATGTACGGAGCCCCAAGCATCCAGCCTTTGGCACCACAGGTGCTTCCAATTCTCGGCCCATGATCTTGTCAAACCTTGGGGACGAGCGGGTCTAGAGTCGGTCCTTACTGGTACTCTGAAGCTCATGTGAACGCACTCTGGTTTTGCATCCCCAATACCAGGGGTATACGCATGGCTGCACGATCTTCGGGGTTGGACTTCGTCCGTGCTGCGAGAGGAAAACATATTCTGCATCTTCGGCTCTTGCAAGACTGAGGGTAACAAAAATCGCTGATGATGTTGGCGCTGGTGATGATGGTGATGATGATGACGACGATAATCGTGATGATGATGATGATGATGTGGATGGTGCGGGTGATGGTGACAGCCTGATAGTCATGGTGATGATGGCGGTGCTTGACCGTGACGATGGTGATGATAACACCTCGTGCACCTGGCTGCCGCGCCGAAACTGCTCCCTACTAACATGAAGAAACTGGCACAACCACGAACAGCCGAGCCTCACAACAATGACTTTCTAGTCTTTTGAACGATTCATTCTTCGATGTTGCTGTCATATGTGGAGCACCTCATGTTATCCTGAAAGAGCCCCAAGCGATTAGCAGGAGGGGGGTGGCAGGACTGGTAGGCAACGACGCGATGGGCAGTTTTGAGCGAAGGCTTTCAACAGCCACGGAGCAGGGTCGTGGAAGTGTGGCCTTGGGTGAAGAATTCCGAACTCCTCAGAACACGAAAAACATTTGCAAGAAGTAGCGTCAGCGTGCGCTCGGTTGCTTGCGGTCGCTTCGGCCATGTATGGATTATCATGCAATGTGCTTTTCGGCTCCCACATGGCAAGCCGCTTGAGGATTTGAGCGTTTTGTTGGTTTTGAGGGTCAGCATCAGCAAAATCACTCTAGCGTATCGGCTTGCTCTAGAGAGCTGAGTACCTCACGCTTTCGCAACATCGGAATGGAATGTCCGCCTAACTCCCCGCAACAAATTCATCCCCAGCGGAACTCTCTGAAAACTGTCTGCACGGCCGACACTGTCGACTTCAAGGTGACTGCACCCTCCTTTCACCGCGCCCCCTGGCGTCCTGATGTCTTCCCAACCATTGAGACCTCCAGGCCATCGAGACAGGACCCGAAATCACTGTGATGGGCACAGCCCCAGAGACGAGGAGGCCCCCAATCGCGACACAACTCAACAACGGCTACTCTTCGGACGGTGATGTCGTGAGATACTCACAGCCTGCCACTGAGATCAAGAAGCTCCTTCAACCACAAAACCAACAGAGCCTAGCTGAAGGAGCCTACTCCAGTGCCCGTTCTGCAAACTGCCTGCTCCCAGCCGCTTCTTCGGCTGCCGGTTGAGCATGCCTTGTATCACCGTCTTGCACTGCGCGTCCTGTCAGTTCGGTAGACACGACAAGCAGCCAAGGCGACAGGCGAGCGACAGCCCAGTCCTTGAACCGACCAGGGAAATCCAACGGGTCCTTGAGCCTCGGTTGCACTGCCCGAGAATCTGAAATGACCGGCCTCTGAGCGCAGCGCTTCGGAGCGAACACCTTTTCGCGCAGCTCTACTCTACACAACCCTCTCCTTGAGCAAAGCTCCGAAGCTACCGTTGCCAGACACTTCATCCTTCTGCAAAACTGCAGCTCCCTTTCAATGCAGTCTAGTGCGCCCTGGTTTAGGCTCAAAAGGAGTTCCTGTTCGACGGAGTCTTCCTGGCCAAGGAACACAGCCGTGCACACCTCCGTGGGATCGTCGAGCTCATCAGCGAAGGGCAAGTAGCCTGTGCTCGCGGTGCTTGCACTTTGGCATGAACCCTTTTTAGGGGTTTAGGGGTTTAAGGTTTAGGGATTTTGGGGTTTAGGGCCAAATTTCCGAACATCGGGAGATTAGCATCAGCCTCCAGCATGAGAGATAGCTCCAAACAGCAACAAGGGTCACTTTGTTGAGGCAGGGCTTTCGCCGTTACCCCGAATGCACACGTCGATACGTGCTGCTTTGCGGACTCGGTAAAGCCAAGCAGCCGCAGACGAACTCAAAAAGGATGACGCCGAGGGACCACAAATCTACCTGTGAGCGGTTCAGAATGTAGGCTTGCCTGTTAAATGCATTAAACCCAACTGATAAGGTTTGGGATTCAGATCCAGCAGATGCATTCCAAACCTTTGCCGGTCTTTTTGTTGAAGCACGAGACGGGATTTACACCGAGTGGAGTGCAACAGGCTAGGAACTTTGGATGCAGGCCTGCGAGTAAAGAGGGCTGAGATGTCTAGCTCTAGAACAACGAGACTTCCACCACTGCCAGCCACTACCTGGAGCCACCCTGATTCGCTCCGACTAATCCGGAAACTCACCAGTGTGTAGCTTTGGAGGAAAGACCTCAAAGCACGGCCGGGAAATCACGCCCGATGCCTCTGTGCCGTAGCCGTGTCCTCGCATGATCTCCGGGGCCATATAGTGCGGAGTCCCGATCCTGAGCAGTCAACCCCCTGTCTGTACTTCTCGAAGGAATGAACAGATCAAAACATGAAAACACAACAGCAACTTCAAGTCCTGCAAGGAGAGTGTTTGCGCCAGTGGTTAAAACGGCACCGGCAGTGGTGACAGTAGTAGTAACACGAGCAGTTCAGAAGTAGCAGCTTTGCCACCCACCCTCCACCGTTGTAGCAGTCGTCGTCGTAGTCGCAGTCGCAAGTCAGCAGGGGCACAACAAACTGTAGCAAGGCCAGACTCCCCAAGGGTTTTGATGCTTGGCAACAAGCTCAAGTCAAATAACCTAGTTCCAAAAGAGCCAGCCCAGCCACATGGTGAAGGTTCGAGTCTTTCCCTCCTCAAGCTTCTTGGCAATGCCGAAGTCGATAAGTTTGAGGTATCCTGGTGCAGGTAGGCATCTCTTTCACATGTTGAGAATTCCCGAGAAATGCAAGCATTCTTGTTACGGTGTGCACAAGGAAATTACAGCAGCTCCATGGCTTAATGCCGCGTCCCTGGAAAAGCCCACTGCACAAGACGTCAAGCGAGCCTTGAGCATCAAGCATCACGTTCTCGGGCTTCAAATCCTTGCAAAGCAGAAAATAGGAGTGGCCAAACAACGGTAGAAAATTTCCGGCATGTCAGTGCGCTTGTAGAATCATCGAATCACCGTGGATGCTGATGCTTGCCCTTTCTGGCAGACTGCAGCAGCCTGAGGACTACAAAGGCTATAATATAATATACTATCATATAATATCATATACTATCATATACTATCATATACTATAATATACTATAATAGCCAAGGTGCTCTATACACGATGTTCTTCTCACAGAGCTCCTGGCCAAGTCTCAGACTACTGGAACAAAGCCTGGCATCGGTCTTGAAGCGTTCTTCGCTGTGATCTGCAATCGCCATTTTAATGGTGACCTTGAGATTTCCTGAACGAACTGCCCCATGGAAGTACTGGAAACTTAGAACCCTGACTAAGAACCCCACCTGCCTGAAAAGGAATTATAATCACTGTAGTCAGCATCCTCTTGTCCAGCCCCCTAAACAGAGGTTATCCGACGCTTCCGGGAAAACCTCGCCCGCAAACTGGGCGGGTAAATGGCGAGGAGCCTCGAGCACGATGACCAGGCAGCCGGTGTAGAACTGCGCTTGGGCCCTGACGGAGACTTGGTGATATTCATACTAACATCATTGCTACCATCGGTTACCCGTCTTCGTGCGCATTTTTATGTTGTTAATGAAAATGTGAACAGTCGTCGTGCTATTGCCGCAATTATTCATTCGTTACCACATATATTCTGTGCATTTCTGTACGTGTTTCTCATCAAGACATTCTTCGAGGCAGATGGCTGGCTACGTCTCTTTGGAAGCCGCCTGAAGGCGCCATTTGACGTCTTGCAAATTAGGGGCTCATGCAACGAGCGCGTACGGTTTTTTCCCTCCCGCTTAGCAAGGACGAGCCCGCATTGCAGGGTGATGTGCCGCGTACGGTTTTTTTTCCCTCCCACTTAGCAAGGACGAGCCCGCATTGCAGGGTTGAGTTCAGAACAGAGTGTGTGCATAGTGAAGGGTAGACGCCCGGCCCTATTGGCTTCGACTGCCCTGACACCAATTAGACAAGGAACCGCAAAACGCAGCACAGTTCACACAAAGGCTACCCATCAAGGACAGCCTAATTCGAAAGCAACGGTCCATCAAGGACATACACTGATTGCCGCGGTGTGTCAGAGCCTAGGTTACAACTGCTTCACTCACTGCGGGCCGCACGATCACTACACCAATACCGTGAGTATTGATGTAGTCACCAGGGACAGGGGGGCGACTGCAGGCGGAAGAGAGTACAGTCACCCAGTGTACTTTCTCCCTCCCGATGTATTCCCAACAGCTTTCTGCCCAGAACCAGGAAACAGCAGTGAAGTAGGCCCTGTTCTTCACACCAGTTTCAGGACAGGCATGACACACGCACCTAATTTACCATCTTCCCAGGGGCCATGCATCCAGATCTCAGCGAGATGGCAGTAAATTCAGTAATTGACGATTTCCAGGATCCATCTTCCCAGCGGCCATGCATGTCCGATCTCGAGGATGTGAGCAAATTCAGTAATTCAGTAATTAGCGACTCCCAGGAAGTTCTTGCAAACAAGTGTGGCTCATGCGCGCGACGAGCATACGTCCCTCTGGCTCAGGGGGTACAGTTCCGAGGTCGGCTTTGGTTATGGCAGCTACATAAGGCCGCACAGGGCTTCTCAATCCAGCAAGTTTTCACATCCAGGCTCCACGGATTGACGTGAGACCGCGATCCAAAAGATATAACAGTCTCTGCATATCCAGGGTCCCAAATTTCAGGTGTAGCCAAGCTGGCGTCCACGAGTCCAAGCGTAGCTGTAGCTTACCAGAACACACCAGCCAGGTTTTTCTAGCCGGGTTAATTGCAGACCTGGAGTCTCCAGATGAAGCACCGAGTGGCCATGGCAAAGCAGCAAGGCTGGTGTTTCACCGAAAACCCCCAAAAGAACCCAAACAAAGCACCCCTGATCCATGGAACCATAGTTCATAGGGCCCTGAAGCAGAGCAATCGGGCAGTGGGCAGGTGATACGATCGTGTGAGAGTGATTGGTTCGGCATGTGGTCCGTTGGGCGGTGGGCAGTGGCCGGACGGTCGCTTTTTATTTGTTTTTTTGTGGTTTTTTTGCGCGATACGACGCGGCACGACTACCCCCCGAGTTCCAGGACTCCCAGTTACCTCAAGCAGGTAACTGGGAGTCTTGGAACTCGGGGGGTAGTCGTGCGGCGTCGTATCGCGCAAAAAAACCACAAAAAACCGGTTTAGGTATACCAGACTCTGAAAGAGCTTGACTCCTGGCCTTGAGAGCACAGTGGGAATCTCGCGGATCGCGCCATGGAGCTCGCCGCCAGTGATGAGCTCGGTTAGGATGTAGACCTTTGTCACTCCCTTCACTTTCTGAAGCCTCCCCAAACCGACTCTTTTCTCGGGCTTGGCCCCTTGCGGGCTTTCAGGTGCAAACATCACCGGCAAACTGGTTCTAAGGTCATCCAACACCAACCTCTTGCAATGGAGCTGCGCTCTTGCTCGTCTCGAACGTTTGCACGAGTCTCCTAAGCAAACCAAGCGCTCAGGTGGGAAAAAACGCCTATGCCTTCCCTAACTCGGCCCGGCATGTAACAGAGAGCGCTCAACAAGTCAATGCCTGCCAGCTCCTCACCAGGCTCTCTCCAATCCCGACCACAAAGCGGCCAAACATGCAGATTTCCCAAAAAAAAAGCAAGCTGTGCCGGGTCGCATGATGAAGGGATGCTCTTGCGCCTTGAGAAGCTCGCACTCACCTGCCCGGGCCAGGGTGCTTTGCCTACAAAGTAGCCATTCATGAGTCGGACTCCGCTGGGCAGGCTCTGGACATGCGTTGGCACATCCTAAGGAAACCGGCCGAAGCCTGGAACTGCGAAACCTTAAGTATTAAGCTCAAGGCGATAGACCCACAAGCTGCCGCCAAGGGGCGCTTAACTTCCACGGGGATTTTCCCGCCATTCTTCTTCACGCGCTTCAGCGCATACCTGGTCGTCTCTGGTACTGCATGTATTGATGTAGTCTTACTATGCAAGCTTTTGTTACTATGGCCCTATGTCTTCCAGCTATACTTTATATGGTCTTGCCATAACTACTTCCGCTACTGATGACTTCGCCGACAGCTCCGATTCCACGGCACGGTGCGCTCCGTGGGTGGCTGCTCCAAGCCCTTTCCGCACGACCATACTGCAAAAGATGAGACCGGGGGTACTGACAAAATCAAGATCATAAACCAAATACAGTAGCAGTTTTGCGTACAGACACACACGTGTATGTATACACATATATATATATATATACACAGCCACAATCAATTGTACAAAGACATGCAGACATACACATAGACTCAGACTTAAACACATAGCCGTTGACATACCGACAAAAACATGCAGAAATGCATCCAGACAGATGCAGAGAGACAGGCAGACAGACATAACTACTTATACCATGGGTGATCATAGGATTAGCTTTAAAGATATCACAGATGGAGACCCTCCCGCCAAATCCGCAAGCAGCTGGAAGTTGCAGGCAAGCTGCCTCATGCCTGTCGCAAAGAAGCTAGGAATTGCTTTCGCTGCCCATGACCATCATGACTCATGCTTTCCCACGCTGGAAGCAACCAGTCTTGCCTCAACAACTCTGCCTGCGACAGTGTGGCCTTCGGCAGCTTCAACCATGACGCGCGCCGAAATCTGAAACCCTCAAGCCCAAAACCAGAAGACCCTGAACGGCGCCTGTCTTCTTGTTCATCACCAGGCGGACTACCCCAGCGGCGCCGGCCCCGATAACCTTCACGGTCTTCAGGTCCTCCGGCTTGAAGTTTCCGCCGAATGGGAGGAGGGGGCGGGGGCTGTCGGGGGCAGCCGAGCGTTTTCGGACGTAAGAGACGTATTACGAGCTTCTTGGATGAGTCGATTGAGCGTTTTCGGACATAACAGGCGCAACTTAATCAACTCAAACTGAAACGAGGATCACAACCCACATCCAACGCATGTTGTCTCGTGCGGGAACAAAAAGACAAGTCAGACTGGTCGGACAAGCAGAAGCTGGGAAGGACGACAACAACAAGTAACAACAGCGGCAGCAGCTGCAGCCAGCAACATTGACAACAGCTACGACTATGATAATGCCGGTGTTAAGCGATGTTGATGCAGGCGGGGTAGCGACGGCAACTGAGAGGCAGCTTTCCGTGATTTCTCTCTGTGCATAGGGCATATCGATAAGAACATCAAGCGATGGAGCAAGGGCTGAAGCCGTGGAACAGCCTTGTACCACAGGCATGCGATGGCTGTGAGTCTTCAGGCGGCGCAGTCCGTGAATATTCCTAGTTGATCTGCTTCACAGCTTACGATGTGATGCTACACACTCTCCCAGGCTGGCCTTCATGCCAAAGTTTGTGTCTTGCCTCAGCTTCGAAAGAGTTGGCTAACGCGTCGAAAGGGGAAAGGATCGATTCAACCATAAAGTGAAAGGGCCCTCCGACAAGCACTAACATCTAAATCACATGAATCCACCATCTGAGCCGACCGAGTCTGGCTGACTTCATCATTCAATTTCCCGGCTCCTTCTTTTTCTGCGCCAGGTGGGCAAACTCCCAAAAGAGGCGGACGCGTGAAATTGAAATGGACAGATTGCCGGGAGAACCTGCTTCATTGGCCTTCATCTGGGCTGCTGTGTTGGGCCCTGCTCAAGCGCCGGCGAGTCAATCACCGGACAAGACAGCTGTCTGATTTTGTGACAATTTCGTGCTTGAGCGGGGCAACTAACAAGGACCCAGTCATGTTTATCGCCACTCGGCTTTGCCGCTTGCCAGATCCAAACCCGGCGACGCTGTGAAAACAGTGAAGGCTGAGATGCAGCACTAGTTAGTTCATGCCCTTGAACTTCCAAAGTCCTCGTCCAGCTCGCCAACCGGTTTGTGGCCTCACTTAACCGAAGCACAAGCTTCAAATAAATACAGCCTCGATCTCGACCTCTCGACACAGATTCCCCTGTAGACCTCTAGCCACTCACAGCTTCAAAGCTTCCTACTACTATTCCTTTAATCCTGCGTTCACTGCATTCACTGGCAAAGCCTCAACATGGCAGTTGGCAGGCAGGTTTCATGTCTAGTGGCTAGAAATGGCTGTCCTCTGCACCCCGTGGCACCAATATGCCCAGGGATACGACTACTACAAGTAGCGCGTCTACTGAGTCTACTGCTATTGCTGCTGCAGACACTGCTGCTTCTTTCCATCCAGGCTGACCTGCTATACTGCTCCTGCTACTGCCAATGTGACTGCGACTGCGACTGCCACTACCACTGCTACTCCTACCTCCTACTTCTACTCCTACCTCCCGCTCCTACATCTACTCCTACTCCTACTGCTATTCCTACTCCTACTCCTACTACGACGACTACTCCTAATCATCATCATCATTATCATTATCATCACCATCAGATTCATCATGACCATCATCACCATTATCATCGTCTTCGTCTTCGTCATAGTAGTGATAGCAACAATCTTTCATAGTAAGAATGGCAATTATGTTCATAGCAGCAATACTTCTAAGATATGGGAGTTGCTGTCCTTTCTGGGTTTCAGGTTGTGATTGTCCAAGGACAGTTTCGGGGCATTCAGCAGCTTGAGTGTCTTGGGTGCAACATGCTACACATGTGCTCTGAATATAGTCTTCAGTGTTATTACTGTTAGTATCAGTATTGCTACTCTTACTATGATTATGGTTATTACTGTTATGATCACTAGTACTGTTATTCTTACCGTTGTTGCTACCCGTATGATCATGTGCCTGAGGCAACCTGTATATGTTCATCACCTCCATCGCCTACCTGGACCTTTCCGGCCCTTTGTCCTACTGGTACACAGGCGGGCTTATAACCCGGTTGCCTTGGACGCTTCCATGCGCAGTCAGCTGAGGATACTTCCATGGCGCCTTCTGCTGCTTTTGTTTGGAATGTCGGGTTTGGAGTTGGGGCTCATGGATAGCCAGGAACACCCTGACAACTCGAAATTCTAAGCCTGACATTTCCGTCGTCGTCGCCACCGCAGCCACCACCGTCGTCGTTTGGCGTCGTCATCGTCCCCTGTCGCCATCGTCGTCCTCGCTGGTGCCGTCGCATTCGCGGTCCTCGTGGCCGTGGCCGTGGTCGTCGTCGTCGTGGTGGTGGTGGTCGTCGTCGTTGGCGTTATCGCAGTCATGGTGCTTTCCGTGACATGATCATACTCAAATGAGTATAAGGCAAAGCTACAGGCAGTCAGTGAAGCTGAACAGCTGCAGGGACACTAACAATGACCGCCTCCAAAACCTCGGAGATCTGCAGCTGTTGCCTTAACTGCTTTAATTGAACTTTTAGAATTACAGTAGTCGTGGTCACAACATAGATCGTAGCCCTAAGCCCTGAAACCTGAACCCTAAGGCTCTAAGCCTATAACAAACCATGACACACAAAATCTCGCAGGGACGGAGAAATGTGTGGAAGACGGCCCACACTTCACCTACGCTTACTACCTGGCCATCTCCAATGTGGTGGGTGCCGTCGGTGCCTGGGAACATTGAAAATTGCTCTCAGGTCTTTTCCCGAGGGCAACAGGCAACTTGGGGGTCAAACTGAGCTGAACAAGAAGATGTTGAGTACATGTTGATCTTTCGGTAGGAAGTCTAAGAGTGCCTGAACCCCAGACTGTAGACCTTCAAGGTACCCTCAGCACAAACCTTCATCGGTGAGGCCTAAAACCTGCAGCCAGTAAGCAGGTGGACGCATAGTCATTCTCGTCCTCGTCCTCCGCAGTCGCCGATGTCGTCGACGTTAACGTCGTCACCGTCGTCGCAGCCGTTGTTGTCACTCCCCTATGCATGCGGTCAACGGCGTCGACTACAACAGTCACTCACACTGTAATTACATTTGTTGCTCACAACAGCAACAGCTGCCTCGATCGGGACAACAACAAGTGGCCCAGAAAGTAAGACTGGACACAAACAGAACTAGACAAGGGCCCGCCCGAAAGCCTTCTAGTGATTCTAGCCTTCCCAGGCTCCATCCTTGGCGCAGTCATCTTTCAGTACATGCAGGCGGGGGCGAGGGCTCCTGCAAGGTGTGGAGGATTCAAGGGTAGGTGCAGGAGCTTACCGGGGTTTCGGGCAAGTGCTAAGAGCTTGGGCTTCCATTTTCTGGTCGGGGTGCAAAGCTATGCTAGACACGGGCCGCAGTTCGGAGCCGTGTTTTGGAATTCAGTGGCTGTGGGGAAGAGTGTCGGCTACGGTCGTGTGGCCATGAAGCTGCGCTTCAAGACAATGCTGCTGATGGTAAAGATGACTTGGTTCTTGTTGCGGAACTTCACTGATTCCGAGGTTACCATAGAAAGGAAACTGTATTATTTACTCTAGATCCCTGCTATGGTAACTTGCACCCAAACCTTAAACCCCAAGCCCTAAACCTAATACTCTAGACTCTTAATCCTAAACTCTAGAGCCCTAGACCCTAAACTCTGAACCCCAAACCCCAGACAAACCCCAAACTTCGCAGGCCTAAACAACCCTTTTCACTCCTAAGCCCTAAACCCTGAATCCTAAATCCCTCTTTCTTTGCAGGATTGGACCTTCCGCCAGGCTTTCTGGGTCACAACTGTGATCCAAGTGGTGGCCTCCTGGTGGCTCGGGGGAAAAAGGGTTTAGGGTTGAGGGAAACCCTACAATAGCGGCCTTAATGGTTTATTATCGGGGTTTGTGGGTGGGTAATTGTAGGATAGTTATCACAAGGAACCCTGGGAACATCGCTGGCAATGACTCCTCCTTCTGGAGTACGATGCCCTAGGTCTCACGGTAGTACTCTTTTGCCCTTTTGATTTTGAGGTCTGCTTCTGAAAACCGAATAGCAGGAACAAGGGTCACCGGTTCGGGGTTCAGGGTTTACCTTTAGGCTCCATTGCGCTCCATTGTAGTCCCTTTGTCTGGTTACCATGTAGCACCCTAAAAATACAGTTGGGAAAACCAAAAAAACAACTATAATGGAGACTATAGGTAGGGTTTAGGGAATTGCAGGAGTTCAGAGTTGGTATGTTGCAGATGAGGGATGGCTCCCCTGAGGGCTCTGAGTGGATATAGAAGGCAATTAGCCAGCTACTCTGTTGCGTTCCCTTTCAGGGTCCCAATTTAACATATCCCAGTGTGTCATGGAAAATGAGCAGGTGCCAGGCTCGCCGAGCCTTCGTGCCGAAATTTCGGGGCCCCACGTCCCTAAACCCGAAACCGAGCCAGCCATTTCCCTAGACCCTAAACCCTAAACCAAACTTCTGAAGCCCAAGTTTGAAAGAGAGCTTCCAGAGATGCAGGTTCGATCTTCTCATCATTTCCCGGTACAATCTGAAGTTCGGGTTTTCGGACAAAGCTGCCTACCTCTTCGGAGACGCGGCTTCTTGGCAGCTGTTTGGCTGGGGTTTCCAGGTCCTCCACCCCTCCACCCCGCCAAACCCTGAACCCTAAACCCTACCAAGGGCATTCAGAGATATTGAGGGGATCACAGCCAGGCCAGGGCTTCGACGCTGAGTCCACATCATAAACACGTTTTGAGGCTCTCAATATGGAGGTCTTGAAAATTTGTAACATCGTTCTTATTCCCATCTAGCCCCAAGACAGTGATGGATAGCATACTACGAAAAGGATGCTGCAAGCATGGCCTTCACGAAGTAGCCTGTTGCCTCGGCATGGGATGCCGTTACATCGGAGATAGCGTGGGATACGTGTTGGAGCTGCAGAACCGTCAGATCTCAGGGTCCCGACACGGACTAGGGTTTAGGGTTTAGGGC